CTTTTCCACGCTGGATGATTTTAGCTTTCGCTTCTCCTGATCGACACTCACATAAGGAATGTAGTCTTTGACAGTCATTTCGATGATGTTGCCATTGGGATCTAACATGAAAGGAGTTTTCCCAGTCGGCCATACGAACGAATAGCCAAGGTCAACGCACCGCTTGCCCATGGAGATTACGGAAGGCGTGTCTTCCAGGATGTGAGCTTCTGCTGGTTCGTTGAATGCCTCGAACTTGATACTTGAACGTTTGGTCGAACATGTTACCCCGTTTGCTGTATGGAAGTTGACGACTTTATCATCATATGTTGGGAGATCCATTCTACTCATTCGTGTGGATGAGATAAGATCATGACCACTTCCAGAATCCAATATGAATCTCTTATCTCTTTCTTCAACAGGAACAGTGATACACATTGTGTTACCCTTTTTGCCATATCGACCCTCGACATGTTGAACATAGTTCTCCACGAAGACCTCCCTGGATACCTCACCGTCCTCGATGTCGAACCTGATCAGAATGTCAAGACTGGGGCCGACGATGACTAGGACTTCATCAATGTCACTGTACTCACCCTTCTCATCGATCAGGATAGCCATTGCCTTCCCTCGGCTCGATGCTAGTCTGCATGAATAAGACCATTGCTCATCTTGCCTTATCTGATCGGTGGGCTTTCCGACTTTACCATGACCTTTGGGGATGGTCTGGGATTTCCGGCTGCACTTCACGAAGTCCTTCTTCACGTACGTCTGAATGCAAGTCTTAGACTCGTCGAATCGTACCTTCTTCTTGACGACATTCGATGCAACCTTGTGGAATGTCCCTTCGTCATCACTCCATTCATGGACAAGTGCAGGAGTAGCCTTTGAGCTTGGTGCTTCGGTGTTCGGAGCAGTGTTGAAGAGATGAGGATCGTGACGTTTGTTGCATTTGTCTCCGTATCGGCACTTGCCCTTGGCCCAGTGCCAGCATGGTTCATCAATCTTCTTGGTCTTGTTCGCCGGAGATTGACTTCTCGGAGTTCCTGGCTTTCGACCATTACCTTTCGTGTTCTTGTTCGCATCAAACACCTTTTGGTCGTGACTATATTCGCAATCTTTTCCTTTTCTGCATGCTTTCTTGATAAAATGGAAATGACATGGGATCTTCTTCTTGGATCTAGGACTAGCACTTCGGCTGTTTGACCGTCCGTTTCCTTTCCCTTGACCTTTCCCTTTTCCTTTTGCATGCTGTTTTGGTTGAGGTGATGGTAGAACTGGAGCTGCATCAGCCTTGGCCTTCGCCTTAGGTGCTGCCTTCTCCTTGGGAGTGGCTTTAGCCTTCGCCTTCGGATTGGCATCTGGTGCAGCAGCAGTTGGGTTTGGTGCAGGAGTAGTGGGTTTGCCACCACCTGCAAACTCTCTTGCGTACTTCTCTCTGGCGGCCACATGCTTGTCTTCTCTGATCCTGGATATGTGCCTCTCGATGACGTCCAGCAGGTAACGATAGCTTCGTCTTTGATCACCTTCGATCCATGACTCATACTGCTTGATGTCAAACATCATGAGACTCGAATTTCGAATCTTCTTGTATAGAGCGTCACGAAGCCAATCATCAGGAGGTACATCATCCGGCATCATATTTGACACCATCTCCATCCACTTCTCGTAGAACACTTCCAGGTTGGAGTCACCGAGATACTTCATCGATACGATGTGCTCCATGGTGAAGGCTGTCTCTCGTTGACCTGGTGTCCTGAAGTGTTCCAGAATCATAGCCAAAATCTCTCGTCCCATAACATAGGTTCCTTTTCGACTATGACTCTGTGTTCTCAATCTTAGTTTAATTGCTACATGACGAGCAACATCACCGGCTTGGGCTATCACGTTCGACAATGCGATTGACAACTTGGCGTCGATTGACTGATATCGTTGCCCACCACTGTCATTCAGTAGCTCGATGTCAGGATTTGGTCGAATAGCCGGCTGTAGCCATGCTTCCCATGCAGCTTTGTCTCCATCATTCGCGGCAAGAACAACACCCTTGATGAGATCTGACTGCCAAACCCCAAGGTTCTGTTGCTTCGGCCATGGGCTAACATAGACTTTGTCAGCCTCCCGTCTCGACATTCTCGGTACTTCTTCTGCCGTGTACGCCGCAGTGGAGATATCATCTGCTGAATCGCGTTGTGATCCCCGCACAGAAGGTAAGCCAGGAGGTTCTGGAGGTGGTCCTGGACCATCAGGTCCAAAAGGGTCAGGAGGCCCATCAGGGTCAGGTGGGCCACCCCTTCCGCCCGGAGGCTTGTAGTAGTCCTTCTCGGTTCCATCGGCGATCTTGTTGTCAACTTCTTTCAGCAGGTCGGCGATCCTTTTGTTCGATTGAGATGGTTGATTTTGAGATGGTCCAGCATGCCCGTAATAGGAGAGAGCAGCATTAGTCTCGTAGGTCAACTCCTTGTCGATCTGCGATACCCATGATTTCAGGACAGTTCTCGGAGTTAGCCTCACTCACCTCATTCTCCAGTCTATCAATGACCAGTCTTGATGCGAGATCATAGTTGGGGATACCTGCCGAATAGGGAAGCGTATCAGGGTTGACCCTGGACATAGATGTTTCAGAATCCTTGAGACTCTTTCTCAGTTCGTCTATACGACGTTTCATGTCAATAATCTCAGAATTCTTGATACCGATCTTTTCATCCCTATCCTGAATTTCCCCCATGAACATGCATGATCTCTCATATTGCTGAACACCACTAGCCAATTTCATTTTGCGCTCACTTTCTAGTTCAGATCTTAAAGCTCGGACTTCAGGATTGGAGAGGGACGACGCCCCTACATCCGCAACCTCAGTCAATCTTTCTTTTAACAGCATGTTTTCCTGTAAACATTCATGAACTTCATGGTCTAGATCCTGAACCCTGATTTGAGCGATTTTGGCTTGGTTCCGTAGATCTTCAACAAGCATCTCATCAGGGCCACGACCGTCGATCGTAGTGCCCTGAGTTAATGATCTTCGCAACTTCACGTTCTGCAATCTGATCTCATCCTTCAATTCACAGTTCATCTCCTGCTCGTTGGCGTAGAGCTCTTCATAGTGCTCTGCCCTTGCGATCGCATTTGCACTAGCCTGTGATTCAAGCCTCAGGTGTGATATCGCTTCGGCCTCGTGGTTCCTGTATGATGCAATTCTTCTGACAGTATCATGTTCAGTGTTTCGGTGTTTCAGATCGCTTTCCAATTTGGCTTGGTTTGCCTCGAAAACCTTCTTTCTGGATTCTCTAGTGATCTCTTCAATACTGTTTTCATACAACTCGGCCTGTTTACGAGACTGAACTAGAGCTTCACTCAATAGCTGATTCCGTTCAGACAATTCATGAACTGCAATTGATTGTTGTTGGCTAATCATTTCAAGTTGATTGCTTGAGAAGGATGCCATTTCGGATCGATTACGATATTCCATGATTGAGTTCTGGAAATCCGTCTGCATTTCTTGACCTTCAGTGTACAATCGGTTGGCAATATCGGTAGTTAAGACATTGGTCTGATGAAGTTGTTGCAGTCTTGCCTCCGTATTACCCAATAGTCCTTGAAGGTGATGTACTTCATCCTTGTACTCTTCCTGGATCTCCATACCGCGTTGATGGATCCGTCTTGCACCGTGTTCCATCAGGGCACCTCGGCGTTCAAGGTCTTGGATGCGTATTGTTGCACCTTTCTTCCTGAGATGCTACCATTAGTTCTGCTTGATACTCTGCAACCTCATTTGCGGAACATGACAATCTATGATTGAGTGCATTGACCTCATCAAACACATTCTGGTTGTGTTCCTGAAGATATTCAGTGAATCTGATCTCGATGTCATGAATCAGTTGATCTCTTGATGCAGCATATGCTTCCATATTGTTCAACTGATTACGTAAGGATTGACATTGTGCCCGTAGTTCTTCTATCATGGCAATAGGTTCACTAGCCACAGAAGTATCCGTTGATCTCCTCTTAACGCGAGTGTCCCCGGTCCTCTCACCAATTCGGTCGGTTCCGGCCCTGGTGGATCTGTCCCTTGGGGTAGTTCGTCCTCGAGATGGTCGATGCCCTTGGCGGACAACATCACTTCGAGCACTGTTTCGAGAAGATCTTGGTGTACTTTGGGTGGACATTCTTCGTCTGTTTGATGTAACTTGCCATCCGGACTGTGTAGTTCGGGTAGAGCGTATCCCGCCACTGTCTGCTGTGTCGCCAGGGGAAGATTGAGTGACCTCCTCGACCGGCATAGCAGCGTTCTCGTTGAAGGTAAACTGCGTGTTGCGCGAGTCCCCGCTGCCGCCCTGCATCTTTGCGATGATGAGCTGATTGGTCCTTTGCGTCCACAATCTTAAGCTTTGACGGCCCGGCTACCAGCACGCAGGTACTCCTCTTCCGACGGAAGATGTGAGCCCTTACGGCTGATAACCTGTGAACAATTTTAATCCTTGTTCCCGGATATCTGGTTGTAGATGTTGGAGTCCCTAACGAGTTAGTAGCCGGAATCCCGGCAGCATTGCTGGGCAGCGCGAACACCGTTTTCCCTTGCGACTTGAGCCAAGTATTTGGCGTCATGTCAGGCCTACTCCACATGCTTATACATGTGTGCAGTACCGTTTAGTTCCCTTTAGCATATCCCATATCATCCCATTATTCACCGTCGTTAACCATTAAATCACCATTTTCCTAGTGGTTAAATCACCATTTTCCTATGGTTTTCCTATGGATGAATTGGATGAATCCCATTAAATCCCATGAAAATTTGCCATTTTTAGTTGATTTACCCTCTGGTAATTTAACATAGCTATTGAAAATGGCCATTTATAGTGGATTTACCCATTAAAAATGGTGATTTTCCATAGTTTTTTGTATGTTTACCAGAGGGTACCCATGAAAAATGATGGGTTTTCCAGTTCGCCAACCCCCATATCCTATCTGATTGAATCCCATCCCGCTACCCCAGGAATCCCCCTTGGGGGCCCATCTACCCAGACACCGTGCTGGAGCGCCAGTTGGCCCATCATCTCCACCGCCTGACGCGAAGAAGTGCAGCGTTCCATGGCCAAATAGGACAAGGTGTCGATGCCTCGGGAAGCGCGACAAGTAGATGTATTAATGCATCTTATTGTGTATATTCTATAATATATACATATGTATATATATATCATATATATATAATATGATATATTATATGATAGTATATTACACACACTCTACATTATAACATACACATCAAATATCTATATATATATATATTTATATATACGGTAACTACATTTAAATATACGAAGTGGTATTTCATAGTACCTCCGGGGCCTCGCGGTCTGGCCCGCCACATATTTAAATGTCGTTACCGTATGTATAATCCTGTAGATTCCTGTACCCTCTGGTAATTTAACATAACTATAGAAAATCACCATTGTTAATAGGTAAACCATCTATTTCTGTGGGCCATCTATACCATGGCTATGTTAAGTAACCAGAGGGTACCCAGATCCTATCCCATTGGATGAATCCCATCTCGCTACCCCCATTGGAATTTCCCCAAGGGCCCATCTCTATTTGGCAGTGTGTCAAAACCCTGTACCCCTGGTGAACCCCAAAATAGCTGGTAAATGGATGTTCATCCCACTAAAAATTGTATTAATAGGTATTGATCCATTCCCATTGCTATAATAGGCATTGCATTAATAGGTATTAATAGGTATACACAGCCCATTTCTGGAAAAAACCCACCGTCAAGGCACTCATCAATGCAACACCCACCTTGCGTCCTGGCTCACAGCCAACCTGGCAGCGCAAAAAGGCCTATGTATGGACGTCGAGTTTCGTGAGCTGAAAAATGGGATCATTATGGATTTCAATCCGCGGATTTCACCACCAATCTATAATATATATATATGTATATGTATATATACATATTATAGTGTGTATATATATATACTATAATATATGTATATATATATATTTATAGTACAATGGGAAATTCTTCAACCATATTTCATGGTGATTGAGGTTTGTAGGTTTGGATTCTACTGGGCTATTTCTTCATGGACGTTTCTAGCTGATGTAACCAGCAGCTTCATAGCTGGTTGGTGGTTGGTGCCTACCCCGCTGAAAAATATGAGTCAGTTGGGGTTATGACATTCCCAACTGAATGGAAAAATAAAAAATAATGTTCCAAAGCACCAACCAGATAGGATCATTTGGGATCCAAAATCAACCGAAGTGGGGTTGTTTATGAGATCTTCATGCGGTTGTAATAGATATTACCCTCGGGTAATCAAAGATGGCAGCTGGGAATCCACTATGAATGGACGTTTATAGCTGAGCAAATCAACTATAATATCAACGGAAGATTTTCCAGCAAGCCACATGTGTTTATTGGAAGGTATGTCCAACAATGATAGTAATACTGTTATTCAAGTTCAAGAAGAGTGCAAATATTATATAACTTCACCCAATAACAATTTGTTAATTCTTTAAAAAATGTCAACTATCATTAAGTGAATACTAATGGTACTATTTAGATCTATTTAGTGTGTCCAAAATGGTTATGACCGAATAGTATGAAATAATTAATTATTCCAAAAAATGCTTCAAAAAAACGTGGGCCCAGAAATGGATCATTCTACATGGTATGGGAAAATCTAGTGGCTGAAGCCCCTCACATCATGTGGCTTTGCAGGAATGTAATAGTCGCCGAACCGCTTACCACTACAGTGCTTCCTGCCAAGCCCGTTTCAATATCATCTCCTGCTTGGCGGCTTCAATCCAGCCTAAAATTATTCAAATGGAATCCAATCTTACCCTCTGGTAAACTAACATAACTATGGAAAATCACCATTTTCAATAGCAATGTTAGTCATAACCAGAGGGTACAACTTTGGATGACCACCGGCATCCACCGGCCAGTCATAGTATTGAATCCCCCATCGAAAAGTTCGCCAAAGAAATAGCTTGCTGCATAGCTACTTCTATACAGTACATATCCCCATGAAAATAGCAAAAGATGTCTGACTTAGTACAAAAAACTACGAAAAACGAGTTGAGTTTCATCCATATTTGTTCATATATGGCAGTGTGTCAAAACCTTGTACCCCTGGTGAACATCAAAATAGCTGGTATTCATCCCCCTAAAAATGGTATTAATAGGTATTGATCCATACCCATATCCCCATAGTTCTCCAAAGTTTTCGCAGGGCTTCACCGTTCACTACCCCCAGGCACCGTCTGGTTAGCGCCGCAGGTGCCAAACATGGCTCCGCAGGTGGATTCGCCCACTGCCACCTCAAGATCAGCTATGATTTTCCCTCAAAGTCAGAAACCTCTCATGATTTCTGGAAGATTTTGTGCGTTTTCCCCTTGATTTCCGGCATTTCTGGAAGATTTTGTGGTTTGTTTTTCCAAATTTTCTGGGGAAACACATGGGGAGAGAAGGATCTACGGCTGATCTTCCAAGAGGATCTATGGCTTGGTGGAGCTTTCCGTGGTGCTCAAAGAAAAAGTCTTTTTTTGGGATCAAACGTAGTTAGTTAGACTATTTTTTTGGGGGGGGGGGGACCAGTTCTATTTGATATGTTTGCTTACTTTTTTGGGGGAAGGACCATTTTTGGAGGGGAAGGACTCTGGATCCTGGTCTGGTGGAACCAGTGTGGAGTGGAAGGGAACCTAAAATAGGATAGCGAAAGGGCCCCCAGTTGGCTATTGTCTTGCTTATGCTTCATGATATACACTCCAATTTCGGGTACCACAGAGTGCCTCTATACATATGCATGTGGATCGAAGCCTGCTACTTCTGTTTATTTGTATACATATATATATACAATATGTACATATATATATATATAATATGTACATATAATATATATAATTTGGCAATAGGAATTTGGGAACATAGGAATTTGGGAACATACCCAGTTTTGTCCACCCTTCAAGCCAGAAGTATGCTATAGAGTTGGTCAAGGTAGCTGGTTGGTACCAAAACTCCTGAAACATATGGGCACCAGGGCCATGTACTCAACAGTTTCCTTGAACATTCATTGCGTGTGTAGCATTGTACATCCAAAGTGCTTTGAAGTTTCGGAACAGTTTCCTTACAAGTAGCATGAGAAAAGTCCATCATGAAATATTAATCATATGAATCATTGCCTAAAGCCAACATATGAATATGATAAAAGTTGTGTGATGCTAATATAATCTTATATGGCTTATATATAGCAACCATAGCTCCATGCCCTTGAACCTGAAGTTCCGAGCGCTCCATCAACCCATGGCTCGCAGGGATTGACTAGCTAATGCCATACCCCATTCATATTAAACACATAGTTGGGACCATGAACCATGGGCTGTTTTAATATGAACGGGGCCAGGATTCATCGCAATCATGAATCATGATCTTCCCATTCAATCATTTATGAAATCCCTATCTTCGTTGGTGAATCCCCGACTCAGTCACTATTATTAAGATTTATTCAGCACTATTAATCCGGTTGGTGGTTGACCTACCCCTCTGAAAAATATGACAACTCGTCAGTTGGGATGATGAAATTCCCAACTGTTTCTGGAAAGTCATAATCCATTCCATGGTTCCAGTCACCACCAAGCAGTAATGGAAATGAAGCACGTTAATGTAAACCGTTACCCTCTGGTAAATTAACAGTTCGGCCCTGGCAGTCATCGGGGTTGGAAGATTAGTTTCCATTTTAGTTTCCATCAAAACTAAGCTCAATTTTCAGGGTCAACATGTTAATTTACCAGAGGCTAAATCCCATGAAAAATCCCATTGAATCACCATAAATCACCATTTACCAGAGGGTAACCATCATATATCCCATTAAAATCCCATTAAATCCCATTAAAGTACCATAAAATCCCATTAAGTCCCATTAAAATACTGAATCCATCTACTATAAACCATCGTTTTATCCAATCACTACTGGTCTTGTTGCTGTCCCATCTCCGGCCGCTCTGGAGCCGTTGCGGTTCGTTGCGGTCGGCCAAGGGGCGCCGTGCTCGTTGATGACGCCATAGGAGCCGCTCTGGTAGCCATAGGTGTGGCTGACCTCCGAAAAGGGATGACCTACCCCAGAAATGCTTGGTGGTTTTAACCCTACCCCTCTGAAAAATATGAGTGAAAGTCAGCTGGGATGATGAAATTCCCATATATGGAAAAATAATCCAAATGTTCCAGGACGAAGGGAAGATTTGTCAGTCCATTAAGTGAAAGTTCCATTTGAAGGTGAAGAGCGGAGGATTCTACCATGCATCTTATATGTCATGGCACTGAGGTCAAAGTGGATATGGTGCCAAGGCGCCACCTTCCAAACTGCGGTGCAGTTTGGCGCCAAAAATTCTATCAAACCTTTCATAGTTATAAGTTATAACAGCAGCCTTTCAGGTGTTTTCCAAGTGAAGCATCGTTACATGGTACATCATGGTACCATCGTTTTGATGCTTCACCTTCAACCGCCCGTCCTGGTCAATGTAACCAATGGGTTCAAAGACCGGATAGCCCGCGGTCTCGTTGGAAGGCTGATACCCAGGGCCCATGGCAGACCTGAGAGTCGCCAAGTGATTTAATGGTGATTTAATGGAAATTTAATGGGATGTAATGGGATTTAGCCTCTGGGAATTTGTTACATAGCTATTGAAAATGGCCATTTATAGTGGATTTTCCCATTAAAAATGATGATTTACCAGAGGGTACACTAAAGTTGGGGGCAAGGAACCAATTCTGGCCATCCCCCAGTGGCACCTAGTATCAAAGCGACCTCTTGGGTGGATTGAAACATGTTGAAACTATGCTGTCGAGTGTGAAACTGTCCAAGTTGTTTCCTGGCCTAGGATACAAATGGCAAGAAGGTGCAAGTAACCTACCATGACCTATCCCCAACAAACTTATGTGATACTTGGGAGAGGACCTCCATCTCAACAATATGCACCGCAGGATGAGTTCGCCAGGGGACCCCGCTGTTTCAGTAGATTGATTCAAGGGCGGTTTTTGAAGCTTACAATTAATTCCATCCATTGGTTCATCATCACGTCTCTGACTGATGGCCACAGACCCAAGTATCATATATTGTTGGTGATAGATCTCCTTAATGAATTTCCACATCCATACATCCATGTACCCTCTGGTTATTTAACATAGCCATGGAAAATGGCCCATTTAGATGGTTTACCTGGGTTTACCTATTAAAAATGGTGATTTTCCATGGCTATGTTAGTCATAACCAGATGGTATTTGCTTCACCAGTTTAGGTCATCCCGATCACAACTTGGATCCCGCAGTCCGTGAGTCCGTTCTGAGTCTCCAGACCCCACGTAGCGAGGAAAGTTTTCCTGCGAGAGGTCGACATTGATTCGATAGCTCATGGGGCGGGACAAACGTGGCCCGTGTGCAACAAACGCGTGCTGCTACTGATGAAGATGAGGAGTTATTGGTTTGAGGTCTATGGCTAAATCCAAGTGTCACAACGATGAAAACGTCTAAAGGCCTGAAAACAAGGTATCCTCAAACCCCATGGTTTATCTCTTCCCTAAAAACCCATACTGCCTGGAACGCACTCTGCAAAAGTCTGCAGTTTGAGGTCTAAGCAAACCGCATGAGAAATTCAATTGTCATTGTTGAGGTATACTTCCTATTTTCTATGGTCAATCTTTGGTAGCTCTACCAAAATTTAATCTGTTGGTTGTTGTGATTGTCCATTTATAGCAAAAATCACTCCTCAAACTAGGTTGGGGATGTTTTTCAGAAAAACCCATGCCCCAAATGTTCAGAAGCACCACCTCTTCCCGCAGCCGGCCCTGTTCGCTCCGGCGTGAAGAAAATGGGGCGCTTGGAGCCAGCCGGGTGATCCGCGGCAGGGACGTGGATCAAACGCGCCTCAAAAGGACCAGGCGCTTTTGAGGCGACTGAGGCATAGATAGTCATCATCATCGTCATCGTCATCATCATCATCGTCATCGTCATCCTCATCACCATCTTCATCATCATCATCATCACCATCATCATCATCATCATCATCGCCATCGTCATCGTCATCATCATCATCCTCATCATCATCATCATCATCACCATCATCATCATCAACATCATCAGCATCATCCTCACCACCATCATCCTCATCACCATCATCCTGATCCTCATCATCATCATCATCGTCATCATCATCCTCATCATCATCATCGTCATCATCATCATCGTCATCGTCATCGTCATCATCATCATCATCATCCTCATCATCATCATCTTCATCATCATCATCACCATCATCCTCATCATCATCATCATCCTCATCATCATCATCATCACCATCATCATCATCGTCATCGTCATCATCATCATCATCATCAGAATCATCATCATCATCATCATCGTCATCGTCATCGTCATCATCATCATCATCATCCTCATCATCATCATCTTCATCATCATCATCACCATCATCCTCATCATCATCATCATCCTCATCATCATCATCATCACCATCATCATCATCATCGTCATCGTCATCATCATCATCATCAGAATCATCATCATCATCATCATCATGCTCATCATCATGGTCATCATCATCATCCTCATCATCATCATCCTCATCATCATCGTCGTCATCATCATCCTCATCATCACCATCATCATTCTCATCATCATCGTCATCATCATCATGCTCGTCGTCATCATCATCATCATCCTCATCATCATCCTCATCATCATCGTCATCATCATCATTACCATCATCACCCTCATTATCCTCATTATCATCGTCATCATCATCATCATCATGGTCATCATCATCATCCCCATCATCATGCTCATCCTCATCATCATCATCCTCATCAACATCATCATCATCATCATCCTCATCATCATCGTCATCATCATCATTACCATCATCATCATCATCATCATCCTCATCTTCATCGTCATCATCATCATCATCCTCATCATCACCATCATCATCATCATCATCCTCATCGTCATCGTCATCATCATCATCATCATCCTCATCATCATCATCATCATCCTCATCAGAATCAGAACGGTGAGAGTCACAAGAAATGAGAACAGCAATTCTTCCATTAATCACAACAAGAGTATCAACAAATTAAAGCTGCTGACAATAGCAATAATCATCATCTTATATTATAATTTTTCGCCATGAAAAAAAAATCATAATTATCATCATTCATGTGGTAACCCCAACATACCATGCCGCAATGCCCAGTAGAGGTTTATGAAATTGGGTATACCCCGATGATGGGGATGATGTTGAGTACCCCCTAGTCATGGTTCGTTGAAAACTGGGACGGTTTTTGGCATCGGGTGGATACTACATTGATGCTGATTGTAACTACCCTCTGGTAAACTAACAGTTTGCTATGGAAAATCACCATCTTTAATGGGAAAACTCACTATAAATTGCCATTTTCAATAGCTATGTTAAATTACCAGAGGGTACCAGAGGGTACTAGTATAATGATAATGATGATGGCAGTAGCAGTGATGATGCCATCCATACCATTGAAATGGCAATACCATCTGGTTATTTGTTACATGGCCATGGAAAATCACCATGCTATTAATAGGTAAACCATCTATTTCTATGGGCCATCTATACCATGGCTATGTTAAATAACCAGGCCGGGTAAATGAACATCCCCGCACTGAACTTCGGAGCTTTTGCAAATAGCTGGGAACTTTACGTAGTAAACGATATGGATTTCCCAGCCAGCCATGTTTGATTCCCAGATGGAGGTTTCCCAAAATCGGAAAAACCGCCTTGCATCATCCATTTGAGTGGGATTTTCTATTATAAACCATCATGTTCATAGGATTTTCCTGTATAAACCTACCATTTTTGGGGTTAAACCATCCATTTTGGGGTCCCGATGACCACTGGACAACCCCCTGATGGGCTCTGAGGCGTCGTTCAGCGCATTGCCATCATCCGAATGGGAGACCAAGACGGAGCCGTCCTGGCACCGGGGTGCTATCCAACTCTTAAACGTTGTAGGGGTAACCATCATTAACCATCATTAACCATCATTAACCATCATTAACCATCATTTATCGCCATTATATTGGGATAACCATCATCAACCAGTGGTTATATCATTGCCAATCAGCCAGATACCCTGCAAAAAATAAAAAATTCTTTGCTGGTGAACGTAGATATTCCCATTAATACCAAAAGACTAAAGGATTAAAGTATCCATGTAAGATTGACCTAGCGTTGTAGGGGTAAGTGAGCAGCAAACTGTTGAATTCCTGGGCAGTATCCCATTCATATCATGATCATTCATGATCAATCCCAATCTTCATGGTTTACACGGGTCTAAATCACAATTTCTTGTGGTAGGATTGCCCGTTGATTGTGAATCCGCGAACAAATCATCAACCAACAGGGGTTTTGAACACTGCTCAACTGGCCATATCACCACCACTAGGCCTACATGAAATAAGCCTAGGTGTAGGTTACTGTCAAGTCAACACATGTGTAAAAAAAAACTGACAACTAGGGATTTAAGAAATTGAAGATTGAAGTGACTTCCGCAAATGCGTCGTTGTCTGCTTCGTTCAGTGCCATTCTTTCCCTTGAATTCTGAATTCAATGATATTCCCAAGCCTTCTCCCTTGTGTATGTTTCAGACCAACTGGGGGATCACTCATATGAATAGAGAGTACGTTTTCACCACGACTAAAACTAGGTTTCCAAACCACGACAAAACCCGGCTGCGAACCACGACAAGGACCAAAGATTTTAAGCACGATTGGCAAACACATCATCGACTGTCTGCGTAGCCAGCAATCACACTCTTAATGAACTGGTTTCATTGTGTTTTAATCAATGAAATGCTTCATTACCAAAAAAACAAACAACACAAACTACTATGAGAATATATAATTACAAATATATATATATATATAAACCATACTA